AGAATTGCAAAGCATTCAGTACAAAATGATGATTGTACAATAAAAAGAGTGTAAAGTTGAAGCTTTTGTTGAATGGTTTACAAGTGAGCTTCGATCACTGTCGACTTTTTAATTAGGTGAACAAATGTTAACCCAACCGATGCCCAGAAAACAGACACACACACTCACACAAACATACACAAACCGAAGTAAAACATAAATGATGAGTAGAAAAACTTTCCATTTTGATTCAAATAAACGAAAGAAACTGTTACTGTGAATGGTGAAGCGCGTCTTTTCAATTGGATGTTTGTTCTTAAGTAGGGCTGTTGTGCACCGATCGCATACCAAAATCCCATGAAATTATTATTATTCGTGCATTTATACGAAACTGTTTTCATTCTGTCTTTCTTTCTGTGTGTTTTTTTCTTGCTCCAATTACGCCTCCATTTGCAAAATTAAAGCGCGTAAGTGAAAAGAGATTGAAGAAAGGAGAAGAAATAATTTAGTTTTGCTGTACTACATCGGTGGTGGATGCATAAAATATATACTTTTAAATATGCACGCTGTTAATGATGGGGAAAAAATAAATCTCGCAAAATCTTTTGCAGTTGCAATGAATCCACATTCATTTTTTCTCATTCTCGCTCTCTCTCTCTCGAAGTTTCCATTGCATTTTCTGTGTATACCCGTTGAAAGCGGACCTTCTTTGTGAATGCGTTTATGCACAAAAGTAAAAGCGTCGTATTTCGTACACAATTCGATATGCGAAACGATAGAGCGCTAAAGCATAGACTCTCTCACACACAAGCTCACATAGTAAAATGAAAGAATTAAAGAAGGAATTAATAACAAAGCACAAATAAGCATACTTTGTTTTATCAATCGTTGAATACAACTATGTACCATTGGAAATAGGAGATTTTTTTTCTTTTTCAAGTAAAATGTTTTGTTTACGTTTGCAATGGATTTTTCTTTGAATTTTTTTCACTCATCGTTTTTTTTTTGATGTTGGTTGCTTGAAACAAGCCAATTCGGATATTAAGCAAACAAATACATACACATTCAAAATTCAACAATAATCACTTCACGCTATAAGCATTCCCTTTTTTTAAATATGATGCCACCAAACCACAAAATGCAATAATGGAAAGTGTAATTAAACTAATTTCTCCTGAAATAATTCCCATAAATGTTTAAATGCACCTCATTTGTTCTGCTTTTGGCCATTTTTAATACCCAACAAAAACTTCAACACCAACAAATAAACGCCGCATATAAATTTTCTTCGTTTCATTTTTTTTTCTCGTATAACAGCGTCTTTTTTGACCACGGGAATTTCTCGAGAATGTTGTTTCGCTTTTCATTTTGTGTTCGTTTTCACTTGCTCACTTTTTTTTCATTTCACTTTTCGGTACCAAATTACGGATCTCATTTTCAGCAAGAAACTGCAATATACAAAAGAAATCAAAACGGCATAATGGGAATAAGGAATTTTCGTAATGTTATTGCTATTGTACAGCCAAAGACTAAAGGCCAAATGGACTACGAAAATGGAGCGTATTAAGTTTAAAGCCCAAATCCAAATGTGGTTTTTAGAAATTCGAATAAAATTGAATAAATAATGTTTTTTATACAATTTATTTAAATAATTTTATGTCGAGAAAATAGTTATTTTGTGTGTATTCATTGCATTTATACAGAGATTATCCAAATCCCAAGAAATATATTTTTATTGTAAATATTTGAAGTTTTCTGATTGGCTCACAATGGCAAAAGTGCTGTCGTTAGTCGCACCGATGACGGATTTGTCCTGTACGGATACGCTGTAAAATCGATGAGATTATAAATTATTCCTTTTGGATTTTTTTAAATAAAAAATCCTAAGGGATTCAATAAAACTTAATAATATAAAAAATATCAAATCGAAACAATAAAAAAGAAGTTATGAAGATTGATCGATCGTCAAAAAACATCATCTTACCATTTTCAGTGTCACTTCGGGTGACAGAACAACAACAATTATATGGATAAACTCAAACGGCAACTTTTTTCCTTGTGAAAAAAAAATGACTGGCTGACTATAAATTTAGTCAATTTTAATCACTTTTATTCGGTTAAAATTACTAATAGATGATTGAAATTGTATATAGTCGGTTATGTTTCAGAGTAAACTAAAATTGATTATAGTCAACATAGTTGACAAAAGTCAATTTCATATACTTATAGTTAACCGTAGTTAACTATGATCACAATCGACATTTCTCAACTCAAGTTACATGAAGACGCATATAGTCACTTATAGTTAACTTTAGCTGGCTGGAATATCAGCAATTTTTGTCCCAAATTAGTCAATTTATTTAAGTCAACTACAACACATGCATTACTGCTGCTGACGAGTCAGTGGAAGCACAACTGCCATTCTTTTCATTCATTCAATCATCATCGGAAAATATAACGCCCCGTTCCTTAGATCACATCATTTGAATACAGGCGTTAGAACGTTACGGAATCCAGAATTTATACGTATCAAGCTCTGCCGAACCGATCATTCAACAGTGCATGTCGACTATTCAATTTAGCAGCAGTTTTCATTTATCCGACGATAACACATCATAAATTTAGACAGAAACTTTAGAGTTTACCAGACGAAGTTTTTGCCACGTGGAAGAGCTTGTAATATATGCATATTTATATAAACTTGACTGATTATCTACTTTCGATATTAACTTTTGCCTATTATTATTTGTATTATTACTATTATTTTTGTTACTATATGCTGATATATTTACCTATTTATATTTATATCAAAGCGCGACGATGACAAGCAACGTTGAAAGTAGCGCCATGGTGCGGTTGCCAGCGAAACTAAAAAATGGCATACATTTCGATCGCCTAAATCAAAAATGGTACAAATTTGTGCCACCCAACATAAACAGTGACAACCATAATGAAGCTGCTGCGTTGCCCAGCTGTCATTGTCGTCGTGCTTTTTTTTTTATTTATTTATTCACCGTCTGATCACAGACTGAATTTATCACAAAATTTGTACAATATCGTTCACAATGAAACACCACCCGATCGTATACCCAGCCACCAGCCTTCTCGACTTCGGAGTAGCAGATATCGATTGTGTTCACTGTTTTAATTTCTATATAACACATAAAAGTTCAAAATTAAATTTTTCACCGAACAAATATCACATTTTCCAATTTGACAATATTGTTCCTAAAGATGTGTCTTGATGCCGATTCTAAAAATACTTCTCTTATCAAGTTAAAGTTTCTACAAGCTACGTAAAACGGCTGATAATGTGCGTAATCCGATGAAAATGCCCTAACTCTAATCAGTTCTGTACTTCTCAAATTTCTTTGGTTCTCATTATATTGCAGTCTTGTATATACAATTTTATCTCTAAGTGAGCTAGACACTATTTTACTTAAAAGCAGATCATAAATTAAAAATATAGAGGCATTTATACGCCGTCTCCAAAGCGGTTGAATATTCAAAACATCACATCTAAACTGATACGGTGGCAATACATAATTCTCATCTCTCTGATATACATATCGTAACGACCAAATAACAAAATCTTTTTGAATTGATTCTATTCTATCGGAGTGGATACGATGGTATGGAAGCCATACAATACTCGCGTATTCCAATTTTGACCTAACTAGTGCACAATATAATATTTTTGCAGATTCTATCGTGTACTTATTTTTTAACGTTCATTTGATGAAACCCATTGCCGCATGTGCACTGGCTGTAATCGCATCGATGTGATCTGTGAATGTCAGTTTTGTATCGAAAATAATGCCAAGATCCTTGTGCATTTTGGTCCGTTCAAACGTATGATGGCCGTTGTCGATCGTATAGTCGTAGTTGACTACGTTTGCACCCTTTGCATACGTCATTACGTAGCACTTCTTCAGATTCAAATGCAGGTTGTTTTCGTTACACCAGTCGCTCAATTGATCAATGGCCCTTTGAAAAATGATGGCATCAATGGGCGAATGTATAGTGCGGATCAATTTCAGATCATCTGCAAATAATAAAACAAGTGCATTTGACACGGTTGCAACAATGTCGTTTATGAAAATAATAAAGAGACATGGTCCCAAAATACTTCCCGCGGGTACTCCCGATGGTACAATGAAAGTCCTTGACTTTTTTTCACCAATTCCAACAAACTGCGATCGTGATGTCAAATAACCATGGAACCATTTGACAATTTGGCGGCCGAATCCAAATCTCACCAACTTCTGAAGCTTTGATTGATATACTTAACTATCTCAAATGTCTTCACATTGAACTCTAATTGTTTGAACCTATTTTTGTAACTAAATTGTATATAACTCAGTCAGCCAATTGAATTGAATTGAATTGAATTGAATGAACGGTAATGTTGTTTGCGTATGTAGTAATCACTTCCTACTAAGTCGCCGTTCGATTATAGTCATACGATTGTTCTTGTTGTTTCTTCGCATGAAGAGAAAAGTGTAAGACGATGTTATTTTGGCGCTCGCTTCCCTGTGTGCATGATTTTTGTGATTATTTCGATTTAATTTTTTTAATATAAATTTGAATTTTTTTATTAAAAAAAATATCGCCTTACACAAATATATGTTTTTTTCTTTCCTTTAACCCTTATCGGGCCTTCAGATAAGAATTCTTATCTTTCTAGTTTCTGTTGATCAGTTTATATATGTTGAACAGCACAATATATTAAAGTACTGTAACAAAGTCGTTCAAACGTTTGTTTTTTAGTTCCTGATGATGGCCGAAATATATTTATTTACACTTTTGTGTTGATATATCGAATACAACCATAAACAACGTTGTTTTCTTATTGAGTTAAAATTGAAGGCAATACAACGCTACACCATACATAACAAATATATTAAACAATTGAAGAAATAAAATACAAAGATACTCAGTATAAGCCCACCAAGGTGAAATTTAAATAGACTTGAGCTTTTTGCTTAAGTTTTAGGTGCCCAATGAGTAAAACTAACTGCTTTGCTAGAACTCATCTATTGAAACCACTAAAACTTTATTTATATATTCCATGTCATACAAATGCCAAATATGATATTTATTTATCAATTTAAATGTTTCTTTCTTTCAAACAAAGTACGACGATGACAACCACATTATTTTCTATAATTCTTAAATTTAATTCGTACAATATTCATATTCAATTAATTGTTGTTCACAGATAAAATGCTTCTCAATACTACAAGGAGCATCATTCCATTTGTGAAGATTTTGAATTCCCATTTGATACATCATTATTGTGTTTTTGCCCACTATGTGTATGCAATGCTCCATCTCATAATCGCTTGGTTCACCAGGTATCCAATTAGTAAAAGTGAATCTTTTACCGGTGCTCATCCATTCACACGTAACATTGTCGCTTAATTTGGTTCCAGATGTCCAAAAATCACTATTTTCACGACCTTTTTAAGACATTGGGAAACATTATTGTTTTCAATCTTGCCAAATTGATGATATTTTTTAAATTATGTTTACGAAATTTTGGAACGTACATAGCCTGTAACATGGTAAGTCATGAATCTTTGCTTCAAAATAATACTTAAACATAAAAATGATTTCAAAGAATGTCAGTCTTCCGTGTTTTTAATGCAAACGTCCCATGTACGAAATATTACTAACTGTTGCCTCTCCGTCTTCATAATTTACTTAAGTTTGAGAGATTTGTAGTCGGAATTACCTTCATCTTCAATTTGCTGTATAATTCGGTTGTTTTCTTCCTTTGATGTAATGCTAACCAAACTCATGTCAAGGGAACGGCAATGAGAGTATGCGGTGAACCAATTGACAGTTTTCAATATCATGAGGTGATATTTCTTGTTAGTTTTATATTTTGGATAGAAAATTTGCCCGAAAATCGGTGCTGTGATAAATTGAAGATTTAGAAACAAAATTGAGTATTATATGATTGCCTGAGAATTGATGTGAGACTTCTACTCATATTTTATTGAAATGTAATACCGCCATACAAATAGTCTTTTTTTACTATTTGATACAATACATTTCAATAAAATATTAGTAGATTTCTCGGACATCCAAATACTGAATTTGTTTTTGATAATTTCACACATACCGATTATTGCAAACAGCAAAATGCTTATTATAATTATTCTTGGATTCATTTTCAGTTGAATTAAATGAATTTTATTGAAAGTGTTTTTGTTTGTGGTAAACAATTCTTTGCTCCACCGAACCAATTGCATAAATTAAATTCTTAAGTTTTAAATTCAAGTTTAAACGAAATGAAATGATGACAATATGTATTGACTGAAGAAAAGGGACTAAATAAAACGTAGTAAATAGAATTTGCCGATTGGAACACATTTTTATATGTGTGCGTGTGTATCACACGAAATAAAATCTGATTGTATGTATGTATGTATGGCGAATGACGAGCATGCTTGTGTATATATGCTGTTATGAAGCAAGATCGTCGAATGTGTGTATATTGTCTGTTGAAGAGCGCGAACGAATTTTTTTCTCAGATTTGCCATATAAATGTATAAACAATAGCATAAATACACTGATTTTGAAGTCACATTTGCAAACATTTACGTCAACGTATGTGAGCCTTGGATGTTCCATTTATAAGAAAATTAGCATTATCGATAATTGTGACAGAGTTTTTTTGGAATATCATACGATGCTTGCTCGTATTTTGAGATACTGGTGTTATTGAGTTTGAGGGTTTTTTCCTAATCCTGATTGATAGTCTTATTTTGCCTTAAGAGAATTGTTGTGATTGGCTCACACTTAAAACTGGCAAAGGTGCTGCTTGGTAAAATGCAATCAAAAACGGTTCAAATTCGCATCATGACAACAACCAATCGAACGTCATACTGCTACAAAAGATACAAAATCTACAGCAGTCAACAATACGTAAGATTTTGACTGAAATTTGAAATTGCACCCATTTGCGAAATGATATCAACATATTTTTATAAAAAATGCCAAAATATGTATGCACAATTGTCGTGAGTATTAATGCAAAAGTGTGAAAAAAACACGTAATTATATTTTGTTCACACTTCTTACCTTTCAATGTACTCTTTCAACAATAGGTACAACTTCCTTTTGCAAAAGAAGTTTTGCTTTTTTACTCTATTTTATCTCGATATTAAGAATTTATTCGTAGTTGTTCTTGTTTAAGTTCTATTCAATTATCAAATAAATTCAAATTCAAATTATTTTTCTTTTAATTTCCTTTCTAAATAAGAAGTGATATTTACATATGAACAATTCTCAGCAATTGATATTTTAGAGTAAAACTATTGACATTTTGACGAGATAAATAAAAACGATAAATCGCTGATCATTTCAGTAGCTAAAGTTTTGATTCGATAGTTTATTAAAAAAAATATTTCTCTCTATCAAGTGAACACTCGTTTTTTTTTGGTTGCTCTTTATGAAAAAAAAAGGTTCATATCAAATGGCATATAAATTCCGATGACGTTGTCATTATTTATTATTTGTCTATACCGTCTGGATTTTGATCACATGCATACACAATGTCGCATCTCTATTGCATCCAAAACGAGATTATTACCAAGTCAGCGGAGATAATAACATATGTTCCTCTATTTTTTTCTTTTTTTTTCTTTCATTTTTGTTCTGTATTTTGTTTTCGGCCGTCTCATCGAAACTATTTAATATTTATTTGATTATTTGCATAAAATTTGGCATTTTATTGACTTTCATTCTCTCTATCTTTATCGATTCGTTATTGAGCGTCCAGACATAGAAGACGGCATACTTGTTCATTTTAACTGACCGGTTTTAGTTGTTTTGTTTACATTGCACTTTCGTTGATCATCGAAATTGAATGATAATTAACAGATTTGAACTGGTATTCTTTTCACAATACTGTTCTCACTTTTTCTCGAAAGAATATTTTTTCATTAGCCACATGGAAATGTGTCAGGTTGTGTTTTGTATAAAAGGCCTTTTCTGCGGTTGCAGAAATCATAGTTTATTCAGTCGTCGAAGAGATAGTATTAAAAATGAAAGTCATTTGTGTTGTTCTCATCGTTTTTATTGCCAGTGCTATGGCCGATCAGTATGATGATGATCATCATCACGGACATCGTGGCGGACATCGTGGTGGACATCGTGGTAGACATCATGAACATGGTACGCACATATTATTAGAAACAGTTTCTTTGTATTTTACTAATTGTAATCTATTAATCGACTCACTTTTTTTTTAAATTACAGATAATGAATTCGGTAAGATTAATTCATGGTTTTTTTAAAAAGAATATATGTATACGTTTTATTTGTATATTATTAAATAGGCCAACATGGACAACAATACCCTAACCAATACCAGGTCGGTCCAGGCGGTCAATATCCTGGTGGTCAATATCCTGGCGGCCAATATCCTGGCGGCCAATATCCTGGTGGTCAATATCCTGCTGGTCAATATCCTGCTGGTCAATATCCTGGCGGCCAATATCCCGGATATGGAGGAGCTGGTCAATCTCAAGCGTCATCTCATGCATCCGCACAAAGTCATTCAAATACCGCTAATCAAGGGCTAGGAGGCGGAAGTTCGTCAGGTGCTATGGCTGGAGCATCATCTAGTTCAGAAACAGGACAAGTGTAAGTCGATATTTCATTTGTTTCATTAACTTTAACATTGGTTAATTTTATTTTTTGTTTTAACCATATTTAGATATCAAGGATAATAAAGAAAAAGAGCTTTGATTTTGAATTGACGAAATAAAGTTACCATGATATTAAAGAAATTAAATTGTCTTTTCTTAATTTTTTCAATAGTGTATACAATTATTTCGTAACAATTTAACGAATTTTTACTAAACACAAAAGGCTTCGTCTATATTTAATACGAATGAAACAAAATCTTGGATTGAGCTATATATCGTAAATGCATGTATGTTTATTTTAAATTAAATTGTTGCGACGTTTCGATCTTAGTAGGAACATCTTTGGGCTAGAAGAGAACAATGCCATATTAATTCAAATTAATACCAAAACGTAAGCCAGTGTTTAAAATTTGGTAAACAAAACAAATAGCAAATATTTCCGAATGTTCTTGAGACGACCTGTACCATTCTATGGCTACACAGTTTGATAATATTTATCATTCAAAAAGCGTAACAATTTCAACAAATCACGATTAAATTGAATTGATATAGTGTGCAAAGTATGATAACTAAACCTGTTCAATGAAATGTGCTTGGCGATATGAATATTGACAGTCGCGATAAAGTGTGGACATACAAAGATGCGTAATAAGTCGCAATTCTGCGCCAAAATGAGTAGCACATCAATCGTTGTAAAACGTAGTTATGAGTGTGAGTGTGTGTGTGTGTGTGTGTGTGACTGTTAACTGTAGACGGAGTTTCTTGATTAGTAATACATTTTTAAAAACAGGCATGTGTTCAATCCAGACAATATATTTGGATTTGGTCATCTGAATATTTCAGCTCATCTGGATAACGTTAGGCGATGATACGAAATGAAAACAATAGAAGTGATTGTTGTATTGTATAGGTATAAAAATACTACCATAACTATAACAATCAATTCTATTGTTTTCATTTCGTAACATCGCCTAACGTTATCCAGATGAGCTGAAATATTCAGATGACCAAATCCAAATATATTGTCTGGTTCAATCTCTTCAAAATAATGAACAAAAGTTGTTTTTCCTGTTTTGTTTTCAGAAATTGCATCACGTGAATTTTGATTCAATCTCACATGTAGATGGTTTTTTGTTTACAATATTAACATTTTGGATGTATATTTGTATATGAATGAACGCGCGGCACTAAAAATTTATACCACAGCATTTTTAGATTTGCACAGCATTGAGAACTTTTGTACTTATTTAATTTAGAATTAAAAGAATTCAGAAGAATTGTGATGAATTTATATCTTTTTTGGCAAAATGGTTTTTGGTAGTTTTTTTAATCGAATGGTAACCAAAAAAATGTAAAAAAGCCACCAAAAAAAGAAAATTGTCACCAAAAAAAGGGAAATGGCCTCCAAAAAAATCTAGTTTGATCCAAAAGAAATGTAATTGACTCCGATTTAAATAAAAATGTTACCAAAATAAAGGAAATGGTCACCAGAAAGAGTAAATGGTCGACAACATAAAAAATGAACGTATCCAATAAAAACTTAAATCAAAATTTGATTTTATAAGATTCAGGTCAGGTCAATATTGAAAATTATTGTATATACATCATAAAAAGCCAGAGTGTTTGGACTCTTTGCGAGTACGGCTGTTTTCCGAATGAACGGATATGATGTACTTGAGACTGACCATCCCAAAAAAATAGCACGATGAAAATTGACGTTATCTGAACAAAACACTGTAGAAGCGCAAGAGTAGTTGCTAGTTTTCAATAAAAATGTTAGTGTTCAATATATGTGGAACGTCCAAGCGACTGTATATCAAAGGTATAATCAAATACTTTTTTGTTGAGAAGCATTCCAGCTTCAAAACACATTAATTTATGGAGATGTGTGTTATTTCTAGTACATTCTTCGGTTTTTGGTGAGAAATATCGAATATTTTGAATAAAAACTCTTCTATTTTCCAATTTTTGGAGCATTAGTCTTGTGCATGAAATACGCCGCTGAATTTTGATGTGTAATTTTCGCCAGACGTGGTGTCTAACGTAAACCGCAAGGTTTTTGGTGGATAACTTGCACGGTTCAGTGTCATTACTCCCACGGATCACAGCTTAATCCGTACCCGTCACGGATGCGGATATAAATTTTATCCGTATCCGTTAAACTAAGCTTGTGAATACGGATGAATTGTATGTCCGTGGGATGTGTATCCGTGAAAATCTTAATACATCCGTCGCTATTTCTGTAATCAAGGATGAAATATTTATCCGTATCCGTGGACAATTTTTTTATTGCTTTAATTCAACGTATTTGAAATTCAATATTTATTGCATATTTCGATAGATCTCATTAATACCAATTGGTATTTTAGAAACGGTTCACATTTTTGGATTGCCCCGCTACATTTATGAATTTATTCATTTGAATTATGCATATAATGATTGGGATTAATGAGATCTATCGAAATATGCGATAAATATTGATTTTTTTTCAAACGACCATTTACAGCAAAATGATTTGAAAACGAATTGTAGCTCCCTACAACTTTGCCTCAGACCATAACATCAGGCGAGCACTGGTTAACGAGATATGACCGTTTTTGTGATTTTAATAAAGTTCAAAAAAATCGCATTTTTCCCATACAAAAAACTAAAAATAAAAATGAAAACTAGCAACAAAAAGAAGAGAAGAACGAAAATTGATGATTAATAAATAAATCAAACCTGAATCTAATCAAATAAAATAACTAGCATTCAACTACTGCTGGTTGAGCCTCTTCTTCTTGTTCTTCTTCGCCGCGTCCGTGTTGTTGAGTAGCAGCGGCGTTTCGCTGAACTTTCGTCCTTCCGTCATGGCCGGCTTTTACTAGTTTGGCACGCTTTTGCGTGTACTGCGCATGCCTCTTTCCAACGCCTTTTGATGTTCTTCCTCCTCCTTTCTTTCGTTATTATTATTCATTTCGCTGAGTTGTCTTGAGAAAGACAGTTCTTTATATTGACAGAAAAAAAAGCAAGAATTGTTGTTTTACATCTGTAACCTATGTCTTTAAAAAAACTTACTGGTTTTTAATTCGCTGTAATTGGAAGAAAGTAAAACAAAAACAATTTGTCATCAATAACAAACTAAATTCATTTTCTCGACGATAATAAATAAATCGTATTTAGAAAATGAATTTCAACATAAATATTAGATACAAAAAAATTGAAGAAAATGATTGGCTATGGTAAAGCTGTCCACTAACACCAACGAACGAACCGTTCGTTCGTTTTCAATGTATATTTTGTTCGTTCCTTCGTTCGTAGAAAATGAATTGTTCGGATTGTTCGTTCGTATGTTCGTACGAACAACGAACAACGAACACGTTTGTTCGTTCGTAATTTATGGAAATTTATTTTCTGAATGTAAACAACGATTTTTCCCGCTTTTCCGATGGGAAATCGTGGAAAATAAGCAAATAAGCGGTTCAATAGCCTAAAGTCCAAATGCGGTGGAATTTAGCTCATCCATGAATTCTCAGGATTTCACCTGAATTCTAAAACTTCCATAAAGATATTTTATAAAAAATCCATTCTTCGTGTAATTGTATGCATTTTTAATTGTAATTACATTATGGAAGTTCTGGAATCCAGGTCAAATCCTGAGAATCCATGGATCAGCAGAATTCCACTGGATTTGGACTTTAGGCCATCGAACCATTCAGGTGTTGGCAGTCAACATTTTGCTTATTTTTCACGATTTCCCATCGGAAAAGTGGGAAAAATCGATTTAAAGTTTTCCCAATTTATATTTATTATCGCAATATTGAGGAAATAAATTTCCAAAAATTGCGAACGAACGAACGTGTTCGTTGTTCGTACGAACATACGAACGAACAATCCGAACAATTCATTTTCTGCGAACGAACGAACGAACAAAAAGACCAAAAAAATATTCTACGAACGTTCGTGGACAGCTATGGGCTGTGGTATATGAGGAAGAATAAACGTGATCCAGCACGATCACCATCGATGATTGGGAAAAGGATTGGTGCGCGACGTGATTTTTTTCAATTTCTTTATTGCCTTTGAAAAGGCAGTTTGTGATTTTTTAAAAATTCTTTATAAAAAAAAGGGTGGCACTCTTTGTTTCGCCCCCAACGTATATATATGGGCTACTCAAGCTCCCAAACCGTGACGATCGAGGCGTCTCAAGGTGGTGCCATTTTGGGAGTCCCACCCTCAATGAGGGGTGATATTAAGCATTGCGCATGTGAAATGCTACGCTAGAACTTAATAGATGCCTGAAGATTGGCGTCGGCAAATTGACAGAACGTGTAGTCGGTTTTTAATAATAAGTTTTGCCGGAACTTTGAACTGAGTAAATGTTGCCTGAATTTTTAAACATGATGATATTGTTTCTGTGGAGGAAATGAAAAAAATTATAATTAATATATTACATAATATATATTATGAATAACGTACATTTAGAATCCGACAGCACAAGGTCCTCTTCCAGATCGACTTCATTGTCCGACGAATCTGGATAACGATATGTCATATGAGACATGCCCGCGCCAACATGTCCCCGTGACGTCATCGGTAAATCTGGATCTGGTTGTTGCACAGCAATGAAATCCCTACTACCGTGCTAGATGGTGTCGACACGAGTGGACGGATTTTTAAATTTATTTGAACGACGCCATGTTACTATACTTGTCCATTACAACGTACATGTAACAGAAGAAACACACAGTCCATGTCCACGCTAGTGGACATAAACGATTTGAACCGTCAATGTGAACTAGATCAAGTATAGAACTTTACATAGGATCATATACGATGAATATGGATTACACAGTCTGTTTCAAAATACCGTCACCAATGTCGACACCATTTGACATCAAAATTTTGACAGTAAAAATATATGTTATTGTTGTTGTCGTTTCATTGCTGTGGGTTGTTGGCCGCTTGTTGGTTGATTGCTACAATGAAATCGAAATTATTATTTTATTAAATAATTAATTGAAATATATTTTTCGTAAAAAATTATCTTACTTTAATTGATCCAGCAAGCGGCCAACAACCAGATCCAGATATACCGATGACGTCACGGGGACATGTTGGCGCAGGACAATTTTGACGTTTTCTTGTTATAGAAAAGTAAATCCAAATCAAACCGGGGATTGAGCTAGAATCGCCATCGAAAACACCATCTCTGGTTTTTCATCACAGCAGTACCTGTTTCTTTAACCCTTGACCGGGTGGGTCAAAATCCTAACACTATCGGGCAGGTGGGGCCTCCGAGGCCCGACGTACAATTTTCATACAAAAATGTTTTTACAAAACATGTTTTTTTGTTTTTTGTGTATTTTATTGAATTTATGCTATAAAATTTATTGTTTCAACTTAATAGAATGATTTTTTGAGATGTTTGAAGTGAATCTGAAGTGTTTTTTATAACATTTGAGTGAAAAAAATGAAAAAAAATCGAAAGTTATTCCGAATCGGATGAATTAATGTGTCGGTTCAGTAGTTGTTTTGCACAATTTTTGCATTTCACACTTGCCTCTGCGTGTTGATTGCATACATTTTGGTTGCAAGTTTCGCACATTTGTTTAGTCTTTCGGTCAATTTTTGCTGGACACATATAACACCGACGGTGCTTCTTTGAGGCTTCAGCTGATTCACTTGCTTCACTGGTTTCGTCTCCAATTACTTCTCGAATCGTCCGCTTATGCGACGATGACATATTGTTGGTGCATCGACGGGAAATATGCGCATTTGTTAATTCCGATGACAATCGTGTGAGAAAGTGTTTTCTTTGATATTTTACGGGCTCATCAATTGAACCGCAAGATGTTCGCCTTAAAACAAATGCTGCAATGCCAGCAACGTTCAACAAATTCATGAAGTAGGCAAATGGCCATCTATTCGTTCGTCGTTGTACCGTGTACGAATGACAGAGTTGATCGAGAACATCCACGCCTCCCTTTTGTTTCATTGTAAAACGTATTGATCACAGCTTTTCCATCATTTCCAATGGTTGGGGTGCGATGCAAAGTTGACAACAAAATGACCGATTTGTTTTTTTTTGGGAACATGCGATAAAAGTGTCATCGTTGGACGAGAACCAAATAAGTTATCAACAACAGCCCGCTGTTTGTTTGGCAAAAATTCTGCTGGAATAAATAACTTGTTTTTTCGAGATTTTCACCTGGTGAATACATGCGAGATAAATTGCGGTTCACTTATTCGAAAATATCTCTTATTAGCGCAAGTTTGTCGTTTCGACGACGAGCACTTCCTGTGTCTTTATCATCGAATCGAATGAATCGCAATAACTCTTTGAATCTCTTCAAAGGCATAGTGGCTTTGAACAATGGCATTCTACGCAAGACCCCATAGAACTCCGCGAAATTTCTCTTGCTGGATCAATCAACACCTGCGGAAAACAACAAGCCAATGAAAGCGAACATGAATAATAGTTTCACGCTTCCAAACAAGAAAATACACAAATAAAAATTGCTTGGCAACACTTTACGATGAAAATTTATTTTCACTTCATTTTCAAAAGAAACTTTCGGAAAAATCACAAAAAATATTCATTTCTTAACGAAAACATAAACAAAACAACTCTTCGTGTCTACCGGCATTTGCTATGTGCTCTGTCAAAGAAACTTATCACATATACAAACATATGTGTGTCACATATACGCGTATTGTACTACGGGCCTCAGCGACCCCACTTGCCCGGTTGTTGAGATATTTTGTTCAAACCTCTCTCTGGCTCCACCTAGGGAACCATAGTCGGAATAAGTTTTATGCACGATTAGAAGAAGGATAAAAGAACATATTACAACACAATTTATTAGATTATAAAAATATTTTATATATTTTTTTTCTAAAAAAATACGCCAGCGGGCCTCAGAGGCCCGAACTGCCCGGTTAAGGGTTAATAGAAATTCTATTTTTAAACAAAAATACAAAAGAATTCAATTAAAATCCCGAATCTTCAAAAAACAAGGGGGCAGACACGTGGAATAGGATTAGACTTTTTGTGTAAAGATTCGAGAAATTGCAATGAAATAGCAACGCATGTGAATGGTTCCGCGTGGAATAGCGAAACAGTGCATGAAATAGCAAAAAGTGACGTTTATTGATGGATTAGTGGAATAGTGCGGAATAGCAGAATTAACATTTTTGACGGAAACAGTGCATGGAATAGGAAAAATAGTTTCGATGTCACATTTTAGATTAGTGGAATAGCTGGATTAGTAATTTATATAGTGGATTCGGAATTTATTCTTGGTGTCTCCCCCCTAGATAAAAAAAATATTCAGTAGAAATATAAATAAAGAGTCGTACAGGAGTAAGACAAACTTTTCCTCACGGTGGTTGTATCGACGTTCGATGTATTGAGCAAAATACACGCGCAAACATCATACACACAGAGCGAGCTAACACAAGTGCGATTGGTTCCGTGCGAATCAATCAACTTCACGTCAGCAAAGACATGAGCTCAGAGCGGAGGTTTTTATGCCAGAACGGCTTTTCCTCCATAATAAAAGAAATAAAATAAATATATAAAAAGAACAAAAATTAAGGAACAGTGGTAGATGCGTATTTTATTTAAGTTAGTTAAAAATAATATTCGTTCGATTTTTCAAGTCTTTCAAGCGGCGTAAAGTTCGAGGCCAAAAAATATGTTCGGCATCGAAATATTCTTTAATTTAATAGCAGAAGTACTCGCAATATATTTTTCAAACTTTCATGATATAATTTGAAAGTATTCTATTTTCTAATAAAACGCTATAAAAAATATGTCTGACGGTAATTTTGCCATAAAAATTATTTTTGAAACATTATTCATACAAAAGTCACAAAAAATTTGTATGGTATCGTAAGGATGTGAAACTTTACACATGCCATTTTTTACACAATACAAATTTTTCGTTTTTGAGCTATGTGCAGTACCTACTTTTGATTTAATTTTTTTTAAATTTAGTGACATTATGTATGTTGGCACGAAGATGCGATTCATAAGTTCTTATCGTGATTCTCATCAAAGACTGGAAGACATTTTTTGCCATTTCACCTTTCCACGCCACGCTCTGCTCGCATTCCATTTAAAGCAATGTATTGGGTTTCGAACACGCAGATGTGCTGCCACCTGGTATCTCAAAGTTAAGCTGCTATAACGCACATGCTTCTTGTAAATGAAGAAGAAGAGGAAAGCAATGTCTTTACATGAGGTTGAACTTATAAATTTCAGAGAGCAGCACAACTGCAGTGTTCAAAGTGCGATTGCCCTTCGTTCCACGCACACTACATATTTTGAATTTATATGTTAATAATCTATTAATTGGCTATAAACTTTGACTTCTCAAAAAAAATAAAATTCGGTAGCTATTGAATTAGTATCTTTCGGTAAATAAGTATTCGTTCGACAAAGGAAGAAAGGAAACAGTGGGGAAAAGTTAGACTTACGGATTTAACTTCCTCTTTATTTAAATATATAATTCTTATGGTGAAAAAATGTATTGTAATATATCATACTTTGTGTATTCCTGTTAACACATTAAATATCACACATGTGATTGAATTGTTAACCCATTAAATGTCAGAGATTGTATTTTACAGTGAAATGGTAATCTTGAAAATACCTTAATACTTAACATGTTGAAACAGAACTAATTTGTAAATAAGTCAAATTTATGATTAAATGTAAAACAAAGTTTCGCTTGCGTGAAAAAAAATGACTGAAGATTTTGGGACAAAGTGACTGACTTTTGACTGTAAAAACAAGCAATATTAGTTTTTAACTAACCGTTTGTTAACTTCAATCAATCAAAGTAAGCTATGGTCAATTGCAACAGCCAACTATAGTTGACAATAATCATAGTTACTATCGGGTGATAGTAAAAACGTCCCAAAATAATCGCCTGACTGACTGAGTAACTATAGTCGATTCAAATTCAAATCGATAAAATTCATGAATTTAGCTAACTATAGTCACTTACAGTCAATAGTGACTTAGTCCACAGTGGACTCAGCACGGGGATATAGTTATTGATATTAGTTAAGATATTGCCAAATGTAACACAAATGCAGCTGATGCTTGGAATTTCAAAAAAAATCTTGAAGAAAACTAATCAAAATCTAAACGAAGTGATAGTAATAGAATAAAGATTTAAGTCTATGAACCATGCTATTATATCCACGCATTAGTCACTTGTCGAGGTGCCATATTGGTAGCATTGTGATGATTTGGTGCTGCCGCATTCTTCGCTTTCAAAAAGCGAAGCTTCCAGAATAAATGCAAAGTGGCAAAATAAATTATTTCGATGAAGCTCAATACAGAAAAACCAGTGAAAAGTCCAAGCAAACCACCACAAACTGCTAAGAAATCACCGTAAGTGTACAGCTCATTCCTTTTGACTGTGTTTATCACGTTGATGTTTAAACCAATCATTGTAATATATTCACTAAAATGATTGAAGAAGAAATCTATGAATTTTTAATTTTATTTAATTGTTGTAATCGTACTCTTTCGATATACTCCCAAGATTTAACGAATCCGGGTTCAGCGCAATCCGATCACAGTTTGCGTTGTACTTGATGAACGTACATGCTGGTATGCAATTACATTCATCTTCAAATGTTTTACCTATATTTGTGGTTTGAATTTTCCGTTTTGCTTCCTTCATACACTCTATCTTCGCTCCTCCACAGATTCGAGTACTCTTGTCTCCTACACAAAAATTAAATATCAATTTCTTATAGTAAAGGCAATATGTCATATACTTGGCTGCGAAAATTTCACGCATCCGCACTCTTGCTTTGTGAAGTTCGCCAAACATTCTTCTTTACAGTTGATTTGCGTGTACATTTTGAAGAAATGCAACTGTCGCTCATCGCCATAAAAACATTCTCGTTGATGTGGTTTGAAGCGACGCAATTTTTCGGTGGTTGTTGTTAATACAGGATCAATCTTGAACACGTGAGTATGTAAAAACGGTATTTGAAAGTACCTATGTGACGTTTGCAATGTTTCGCCAGGCGTGGATAAAAATATTTTAAAGCCTTGCTCGATGCCACTACATTGGGGCTCCAGATTATTTTTAGAGGTCAAAAGTACAAGGCCCAGGGAAGCTTTTTCTCCTGACGAAAAAGCCTGGAATGGATAATTTCCATCGTTGAATGGATTTGAATATCCATTTTGTAGACTCCAGTGTGAGGATACATTCAGATTATTTTCAACCGTCCTCATGTTCATTATCATTCTAAAAATATAATGTGTGATGTATTTGGTTGTAAGCGTATTAAGGCGCGAACGGATTTTTCTATTAGTAATAAACCCACCCGTCTGTGTATATTTCATGCGAATTCAAGGCATTGAATGTAAAACAAAGACCTTTCTCTGTGAAAATGGGTTTAAAATTCTTGATGCAATCTTTTGAACGCCATAGACATAGAACTATATCAAAATTGGGTGCAATATCTCGAATGGTATTGTACATAGATTCATTTGCAAAATCGTCGTCAAGCTCAATTTGACCTGGTAGATATGGGCACACTTGAGCCAAAGCATTGACACGGATGGCGCTAGAAAGAACGCAGAAAAAATTGAGAAAATTCCGAAAATTCGAACAATTTTTTTTAATTTCCTACTTCATGTCAGATAAATTGGATTTAGATTTAAGCGACTCAAGTGCTGATGCTATATTCAATTTATGTTTCTGCGCTTTAATGTCTAGACAGATTGTTACTTTTGGAAATGGGATCATCTCAATCAGTGATCGTGTGTCTGTTGTGCTTATTTTCACTGGGTTCTCTTGCCACTCGATATAGGTCTTCTGAATCATAGAGCTGCTATACCAGAGAGCAACACCAATGGAGATCAACCATACCAATCTAAGTGAATGCGAATGCGAATGCGAATGCTGAAAAAATTCTTGATCTCGATTTCATGAATGGATTTACCTCTCAATAATGTGTAGCTTTTTTTCGGTCACATATCGAAGGCCATGGATGTTACTGTTTTTGCAGAATTCTTTAAAAAATATCCGCAACACCTGCCACAAAGTGTACATCCATCTCGTCTAATAACGACAAAATTGAAATGTAGATAAATGTCGAAGTTTTTTGGAAGATAAGTGATCAATGATCATACCACTCGATATTTGTAGTATAACTTTTGGCCAAATGGTTCATAATCCTCCTGTGGCTGTATTTTTGGTGGTCTTGGACGATAAATGGTCCAAAACAAGCGAATTGTGGCATAATAGACGATTTCGACGATGCTCAAAAAGGAAATGCCAAAAAATAATCCAAGCAAACCACCGCAAATTGCTAGAAAATCAGTAATCGTGTACCTTTCCACCCGTTTTTCTATTTTGACTTCGGGATCTTGGAAGAAAATGGAGACTCGTGTGGATAGTTGACTGACGTTTTGAAGATTTTTTTAAAATAATTTATGCGTTTTTATAAATACATTTAACATTGTCCATACCCTATTTCACTCGCTTCGAATCCAATATTGTTACTCTTGTTCGTCATAAATAAAAATTTTTTTTCAGTTTTTATATCGTACTGAATATCAATACATGATTCCATACAATTACATTCGTCACGAAACAATTTTCCATAATGGGATACATATTTTTTCTGAGCGTATATATAGCATTCGATACGCGCTGCACCACAGATTTTTGTATTGTTGTCTCCTGTGAAAAATATGGAATTAATTTTGTTTTGGGATCCAATTAATGGAATTTGCTGAATACATACTTGGCATAGAAAATTTTACACATCCGCATTCATTTTTAGTGAAATTTACCAAACACTCTTCTGCGCAATTGTTTTTCGTATAGATTTTGAAGTATCGCAATTTTCGCTCAGAATTGAAAAAACATTGACGCTGATTTGATTTATAAAAGCTCATGCCTTTCGAAATATCTTTTAGTTTAGGTTTAATCGTTATCTGAATATCTTGTGACATTGAAATGAAAAACCTAGCATGAAATTCGGATGTTCTTTCACCTGGAACTTTTATATCCAATATGAATCCTTTCATAACTCCTGTACAAATATAATCATAATCATTCGTGTTTTGCGAAACAACAAAATCCATAGCATAATTTTGACCCGCGCCAATCATACGATTGGGATAAACGTTGCCTTCAAATCCATCAGTATAGCCACTTTCAAAACTCCAGCCAGATGTCATTGGACTGTTCTTCGTGGTCATCTTCTTTCTTGACACCATTCTGAAAATTGTTGATTTACCTTTTTTCATCTTTACGAATGGGCAATTTAAGAGACTTACCCATCTGTATACATTTCATTCGAGCTCAAAGCATTAAATGCAAAACATTGACCTTCCGTAGTCATCATTGGAATAAAATGGTCAGAGCACCTGATGTCACTTGATTGCCATTGGCATCCAGACAATGAATTATCAAGATTGGGAGCGAGGTTCTCAAGTACATCGTAGATGGATTCGTTTGTGAAATCATTTCGGTATTTAGGAAATAAATTCAAAGCTGGACAAATGTGTCCTAACGCATCAAATTGCGATGCCCTGCACAAAGATATTTATATACAAAAAATGTCATCATTGATGCCGCAAATTTAGAGTGACAAAAACCATAGTTTAAATGTTTAAATAATCTTTGGTCAAGAAGGTTTCCATCTAGGGCTCTCCCTCAAAAAAAATTTCTTAATTATATAAATTTCGGAATATTAAAAGGAATGCTGATACTTGCAAGAGAACGTATTTCTTCGAATAAAAATATTAAATATCGAGATGTGAGTTTCAAAAATTACTTACTCAATATCAGATAGTTTGCCAGATAACTTTATATTATTATTTCCTATTTTGAACTTAGATGATACATCCAATTTATGCTTTAATGTTTTCACCCTGTTACAAATTATTACGGTTGGAAATGGGATGGCCGAAATAGGTGCCACTTCATCAAAATTCAAGGTCATTGGATTCTCATTCCAGTCCAACCAAACGGCGCGAATCATAGTACCACACAAACCGAGTGATAAACCAAAACCAATTATCCACCACCATCTTAAGTAAAAGTGTAATTAAAATGGTGCCGAATAATTCGAAGTATATGTGGATTGTGGAAAAACTTGGACTAACCTTTCACTTTTGTGTAGCAATTTATCAGTGAAGTAATGAAAACCATGGATATTGGTATTGCTACAGAATTCTTTGAAAAAAATACGAAACACTCGAATGAAGGAAGTAGTGAACCCCATCACCACTACTTGAATAAATTTAACAAACAATTTCACCTAAAAACATTTTTTCCTTTAATTACTAAATAATATAATATTTAATATTTTTGGAAGAAAATCACTTATTTTTAACTAACCACAAAGATAATTAGACTGTGAATTATAGTCTGAGCTCTGGTTTTCAACAAGATCAATTGGTTCTTAGTAAATATTTTGCGAATTTTAAAACTCAAGAATGTAAAGAAGGACATGTTTCAAAACAGTAAAAAACACAGTAAATATCTTGCACAACCGTTGCTATTCACATTTATCTATGACCACGTACACTCAATTTGTGAAAATAATTTCATTTGATCGGGTTTTATTCGGACCAGAATAACATGGTAATGGAAGATTAAATCAACACATGCGAAAAGCTTTTATGAAAATGCCAAACATATCATTTCACCGCTATTTCACGACATTACAAATGCATTTGAATTTTATTTATAAAATTAAATATCAATCAATAAAATCAGTTCGGTGGTTTGATTTGTTTATTACACTTTTATTCGTGACATTAAGCCATAATTCAAGATTAACTTAAACTTATGCAACGCATGTATGCTTTTAATTGATGTTTACATTACTAAAAATCAATGTTAGGAACCTAGGGGCTCGGAACGTAAAAACAAAACATCAAATAAACACAGTTTTGTATCAATGTGATATATAGCGACAAATATTACAAATATTAGTGATTATCGTAGTTTTTACTTTTCCGCACACACTTAGTGTGTAAGGTAAAGTATTGGAATCGGTCGAAAAATTAACATCCATCAAAAATGTGTTTTCTGGGTGTTTTTGGGGCCAGGGAACACGAATCTAGCGTTTTTTTTTTGATGTCCGAATGTATGTGCGTACCCTGTACGCTGTATGCTGTACGCAAACATTTGTTAACACGATAACTTTCAAACAAGAAAAGTAATTCAAAATCTGACTTCACAGGATGATTGGGGGTGCCGAGGAATAGAAACCATTAGATTTTGAGCGACTTTGGTTGATAGAGTGACGTGTCATGTCTGGTGTGATGCCCATGGGCATCCATGGGGAAAATTCAATTTTTCTTCCAAAAGTGATATTTAATGTATTCCCAAACACTCAAAAATATTTAATGGAGGGTTTTTGGGCATGAGAAAACCAAATATGACGTTAGTTTTACGATACAAATATATTTCGACACACTTTCCATACAAAAATTTCAAAAAATTTGGATTTTTGTATGAAAGCCATGCTTGTATGATATCGTTCACACAAAAATAACATTCCGAAGGTTTGAAGAGATTTCAATGGATAATAGGGGTACCTCCCGAACAAAATTTTGGATTTTTCGCTCAAAAACGAAAATTTTGTATGGAAGGTACCACGCAATCCTATTGACATTTCTTCAAACTTTCAAAATGTTAGCTTTTTGTGAAAAAAATACCCTGTGCAAAGTTTCACGTCATTGCGATATCATACAGGCATTGAAAAGTCTATCGAAAAATTATTTGTATCGTAATATTCTTATAGTAATCCTGTGTGATTTTACAAATGACAGGAATATTCACAGAAAGTGAAGTTATTGTTCACTACTCAAAATGCACCAATATTCGTGAATATGCAAGATTTTTCATTTTCACGAATAAGCCCCTAGTTAGGAACATATTATTCCATTTACAGTCAATATGAATAATGTGTCGTATAAAGTTGAATACAAATAATATATATTCACTTTTCCGCACACCCACTAATCGATTTACTACGTGTTTTAGGTATAGAGAATCACACAACACGTTTTTTGGCCATGTTAATGTGAGGATGTGGTACACGTCTCATATGACATATCGTTATCCAGATTCGTCGGACAGTGAAGTCGATGAATGTACGTTATTCATATATTATGTAATATATACTACTACAGTATACTCCTGTATTCCGATATTTCTATATTTTTTTACATACGCCAACCCGAAACAAACAAACAGACATACTTTCGCTTTTATAGGTATAGAAGAAGAAGACGACCATTTACAGCAAAATGATGTGAGAACAAATTGTAGCGCTTCTAATTTCCTACAAATTTCTCTCAGGCCAAAACATGGGACGAACATTGGTTTTTTAACTTTTGGAGGCCAAATTGTTTTTTCGGAGGCCATTTACCATTTTGTTGGTGATCATTTTCTTTTTTTTGTGACTTTTTTGCATTTTTTGGCGACCATTTTCTATTGTTTTGACGGCCACTTGTTCTTTTTGGAGATTTTTACTATTTTTTCGGAGGCCAAAAAGTTAATTTGGTTATCATTCGATTAAAAAAACTACAAAAAACTCAGGATCCTTTGTTTTTTTAAAGTTATTAAAAAAAAGTTTTTAAGAATAAGATGCAATTGTATTTAACGGCACTTTATTATATTTAAAATTTTATTTTAGTGGCCAAACGATGGACTCAATCCAATCAATGTAATAAGCCACACGTGTATAGACACTTGGTAACGAGGTTCCGCAATTTACACCAAGTGAAACAATGCCAACTATGGTCGCTCTGCTTGAATTACTGTATGGGAAATACTGGAGAGGACCTCCACTCTGAAGAGCACCGCCATGGCAAGAATCTCCTCTTCCTTTTGGATCGTTTGCACAATATTGCCCTTCGCTGATGCCATTTTGAAACTCATCATAATTTAGTTGCTTATTCCATTCCAAAATAGTTGAATTACATTCGAGCAATGGTACCGATGTTAAGTTCGTTTTGAGTAACTTACTCGAATAAGACCCTGTGTTATCATTTGATAATTAAATATTTGCATTAAACATCTGGCCAAAATTCATGTTATGTTCAGTCATTAATAATGATAACTTTATCCCACCATTAGTGATGGTGGCACTCCACCCGATAACGATCAATTCAGAATCAACAACCTCTTCTTTCGTGTGCAAGCATGCTGCCCTAATATCCCCATTGAAATTCCGAAATTTATTCTGAATTCGAATCAATGCAATGTCATTTTTCTTCATTTCTTTGTTATAATCTCGATGTCTCGAAATAGTCTGAATGCAGTGAAAATATTTTTTTTTTTTTTTAAATAATAAAAATAAAGAAAATTAGATATTATAGTAATCTTACCTTTATTAGGTATAATTCTGCAAAATCATCATCAGTAAGAGGTGGCTGTTTGAAGAGAAAATAAATGAATTTTGAATTATACATGCAAATGGAGATTTAACTATTTAAAATCGTTTTCATATGATTCCAAGCCATAGCTGGGGAGACAGGGGGGTATTACCCCATCAAATTTTTGCGTTACCCCTTTACGAAATTCATGATTTTGGATAGAATTTTTCTCATTTTGCTAGCTGAAAATTTCCTATTTTGCGAATACGAGGCAAGGAATGAAGCGTATATGCACATACACTACTTTCTTCGTGTCTCATTCCGTATTCTGTTTCGTGTTTTCGTAACTGACGCACGGCGCGAATACCCCGGGTGAACAGTGCAAATGAGTTGTTAAAATATATTGAATTGTCCATTTGAGTTGCAGACGGTCGCGTCATTCATTATGCTTACATTCTCACATTACTCAAAATGCTCAGATAGTCGATATGATTTTTTTTTAAATATTATATTTTCCTTAAATTCTCGCTTTAGTCACTCTTTACTCACTTTACCAACTCGAACTTGAGACGGTTCATTGGATTCATCTACACATTGCGCTGCAGTCAAAACATAACGCTCCGATATGATTGTGCCACTACAGCGATTCTCGTTTTCATTACGATTTACACTTGGATAGAATAATTCAACCTATGAATGAAAAAAAAAAAAATAATGCCAATTGAAGGAAGTGTCAATTCTAATGGTAAGCGTCGTAATTGGTTACTTCAATGAAAAAATATATATCAAATTGACTTACCACCCAAATGAACTCATTATCAGCATCATTTACATTCTCGTCGTCTGTAATTTCTATATTATTTATAGAATAGTTTGTACAAGCTATTTGCGAGACGCCAACTTAAAAAAAGAAAATTGAAATAATGATGTAGTTTTTAAAATTTAAGTAAAGCTTTCAATGATTTTTATATACCATAGTTGGGATTATTCCTCAGCAATTTAGCTATATCTCTATAACCTGGAAAAATAAATTATTTTAATTTCTCTCACTGTTGCCTTATACCTAGATCTATAGATAAGTTGGTTCAAATAGAATTCAATCATAAATGTGAACTATTGAGTTAATAATAACAGACGTTTTATATGAAAACACTGCAGAATAGACGAAAAATTTAGATTTCAAATCATTAGAACCTCTTTGTACAGCATACTGATGTGGTATTTTATTGTTCTTGGTTTTTAAATTTACATCGGCTCCATGTTCAACTAGATATTTGGCTATCTCCAAATTACCTAAAAAGCATAGAGAATGGTGACAAAACTCCATGTAGAAATAATTTTTTTCAATTCAGAAAAAGTGTACAATTACCTCCATAATCTGTCGCCCAGTGAAGTGCTGTATATTGATCAACATCTACAGCATTCACATCGGTTTTATGATCAACTAGATATTTTACTGTCTCCACATGTTCTAAAGAGTATAAAACGTAATACAATTAACATTCGTTTTAACCTGCCAAACTTGGTAAATAAAGTCAAAATTAGTTTTGATAAGGAGTATTGAATTACCTTTCTGAATCGCATTTATGAGTCTTTATAAGTATTTATTAAAAAAACAAAAAAAATTAAAAAAATTGTATGAATTATTATAAAAAAAAATATTTTTATAAAATATTACGGTGTACGCCGGACATTGTCAGACGCATTTACATTGGCTCCGTGTTCAACTAGATATTTGACTGTTTCTAAATCGCCTAAAAAGCATGAAAAGTAATAGGATAAATATTAATTGAACATAATTATTTTTAATTACCTCGTTCGGCAGCCAAGTGCAATCTGTACTTAGTGGAGTTTTATAAAAAAAATAAAATAAAAAATAAATATAAAGAAAATTTTAAAAATAATATTTTTATAAAAATTTACGGTTCACTATAATAAGCGTTTTTAACATTCATATCAGCTCTATGATCAACCAGGTATTTGACTAAATCTGCTTGACCTAAAGAGCATGAAAAATGACAAGGTAAAAACTTATTAAAAATAAGTCGCTTCAAATCGGAGCATAGGATTACCATATTGCGAAGCATAGTGCAGTCTTTACATAGTGAAAAAAAAAAATAAAAAAAATATTTAAAACAATTATTATAAAAAATATTATTTTTATAAAATCTTACGCCGTATTTTTGTCTTTACTTTCGGCATTCACATTTGCTCTGTGTTCGACTAGATATTTTACTACTTCTAAATTATCTAAAAACAACAAAAGTAATATGATTAATATATATTGAAAACAAAGACTTCGGCTATATAGCCACTAATGTGCGAGCTCAATTGGTGCCAGTTGGTGCTTTTGAAAATAGAATTTCGTGGCAAAAAAGTGATGTCTCTGATTTAAAATAATCTATTTCAGATACGAATTACTTTTCCCAACTATTCGAACTGCGTTTAACAACGGCGTAAGATTGTCATTGCCATACGCATTTATTTTGGCTCCATGTTCCACTAGATATTTGACTGCTTCTAAACCACCTAAAAAACATGAAAAGCAACATTCAATGAAACGAAATCGACTTAATTTGGAATAATAAATTACTCCATGTAACCGCATAGTGAACTAAAAATAATATATTTGGAGATAAAATAAAGCATTAATAATGGATCTCGTAATAATCATATTCAAAGTTTAAAAAATGAAATACTTGGTAAATCTTTAAACTGGTCTTCTGCATTCACATTTGCTCTATGATCCACTAAATATTTGAGTACATCTGTATGATCTAAAAAGCATAAAAAGTAAAAAGATTAATAAAAGATTATTCGGTTTAATTTGGAATATTAAATTTCCATTCAATGCGGCGAAGTGAAGTCTAAAAAAATGTAAAAAAATATTTGTAAAAATGATTATAATTTTTTTTTTTTTTTCATAAAATCTTACGGTGTGTCTCCTTGCGAATTTCTGTCATTCACATTTACTCCACATTCGACTAGGTATTTGACTACTTCTAATCTACCTAAAACGCATGAAAAATAATATTATTTACATTTACAATATATAATTTTAATTTGAAATTTTGAATCACCATTCTTCACCGCGTCATGAAATCTAAAAAAAAAAATATTTAAAAAAATTCATAAAAATTATTATAAAAATGATGTTTTTATAAAATTTTACGGTGTATAATTAAATCTGTCGTTGACATTTATATCGGCTCCATGTTCGACCAAATATTTGACTATATCAACATAACCTAAAAAACATGAAAAGTAACAAGATTAACATTCATTCAAAATAGTTCATGTTAAATCTGAGTATTTGATCACCATTTCGAGAAGCGAAGTGAACTGGAGTACTTTCCAAATGGTCTTGTGCATTCACACTGGCTCCGTGGTCGACTAGATATTTAACTATTTCTAAATTACCTGAAATTTATGAAAAGTATGAAAATTACCAGTTATTGAAAATAATTTTGTCTAATTCAAAGTATTGAATTACCCTTCTCACACGCTTGCATTAACGGTGTACGTTGGATATCGTTTTCCGCATTTACATTAAGCCCATGTTCAACTAGGTATTTGACTACATCTGCTTGAGCTTAAAAGCATAGAAAGCATGGTGAAAAAAATCTTCATCTAAACAAAATTGTTGAAAAGTGTAAAACTACCATTCTCGCCATTGGCCGCGTTGTGAAGAAGCGTGTCTTCGTATCTATCTACATAATTTATATTTGCTCCATGTTCGACTAGATATTTTACCAACTCCAAATTACCTAAATCGTATGAGATAAGAATCATTGATGAATAATTCGTTTTAATTCGGAGTATTGAGTTACCATTGCGAGCAGCATGCTGAATGGGTATAAATTTGTCGTCGTTTTCCACATTCACATTTACTCTTTGTTCGACTAGATATTTGGCTACATCGATCTGATCTAAAAAGTATAAAAAGCGATGATAAAAAACTCTATCTAAAAATAGTTCTTTTTAATTCGGAAAATTTTACAATTACCATAAAAACTAGCTAAGTGGAGTCTATTTATTGAAAAAACAAAAAAATATAATATAAAAAATTTAGAAAATGATATTATTTTTATAAAATTTTACGGTGTGTCTTTTTGATATTCGTTTGTAGCATTCACATTTGCTCCATGTTCAACTAGATATTTGACTGCTGCTATATTACCTAAAAGGTATAAATAAGATTTACATTTATTGAAAATAATGTCTCTTAATTCTGAGTTTTGAATTACCATTACGAGAAGCCAAGTGAATTCTAGTGATTTAAAAGAAAATGAAAATATTTAGAAAAATTATAATATAATTTTTTTATTTTTATAAAAGCTTACGGTGTATTTTTGAGAGAGTCGATAGCTTCTATATTGGCACCATGTTCGACTAAACATTTTGCTACTTCTGGGTGATTTTTCTCAGCAGCGTAGTGAAGCGCTGACCTCTGCTGGTAGTCTTCGACATTTACAGTGGCTCCATATTCGATTAATGTTTTGGTTGCCTCTGCTTGGCCTAGAAAGTATGAAAATTGTTGTTAAGTTTTCTTTATGTAACACTAACGCTAAATTGTAACCGTTCATTGCAGCACGATAAATAGGCGTCTGTTTGTTTGCACCCACTGCATTTACGTTGGCTCCATGGTCGAGTAGGTATTTGATCGCTTCAATGTTGCCTGGAATGATTTTTTTTTTTTCATTTTTAAGATCCATTTAAATCAATTGTCCTTGATTCAACGTGTGCTCACCCCACTCAGCGCTATAATGAAGCGGTGTATTTTCATCTTCAGTAGTGGCATTCACGTTTGCTCCCGCATCGATGAGAGTTTTGATTACATTGGTATGATCTAGAAAACATTAAATAGAATCGAATTTTATTTTTAAAAAAAATATATTTAAAGAATTTTGAAAAGCTCAGATTTACCCGCCATAGCAGCACGATGAAGTGCCTGTGTATGCTTTTCGTTATCTTCAACATTTACATTGGCTCCACGTGCGAGTAGATTTTTAACTTTATCCACATTACCTAAAAAGTATGAAAATAACGTGATTCTTTTAATCCTAGTTATACTTTTCACGAGATCGTTCATTTGTTCACGCGATACGACAAAAACTATATATTTAAAAAAACAACTATTTCGCTTTGATATGCAACTTATAATATGCTGTTTTTATTTTAGAACAGTCAAATGTTTTTGATTTTCATTTACAATTTCACCACCAGTTGACCGATCGTATTTTAACTGTTGTTCAACACAAATTCTATTATTACCTCTTCTTACGGCACTCAATAGCTGTTGATCCAAACCAGTATTGGATCGTGCATCCCTCAGTTCACAAAACAAAAATAGAAACACCAAAAAATATTTCATTTCAAATACAATCTGCTGATTGAATAATAAAATCGATGATATTTAGAGGATGAAACACAATTCACGTTCGTTTTAATAAATTGCAAATGCTAATTGTTCAAATTTATTTCAAAATAACACTGTTTTCACTCTCAATTTCACGAGATTTATGACATTCTAAATCACACTGATCTTCTTTTATTGGCAAATATATTTGCAGGGGTCAATATGTGAGTTCAAACTATTTTACTATCTTCTTGAGATTATACTCTATCAAATGGTGAATAGATGAAACGTCAATTCTCTCCCTCTCTTCATCATTCCAGTTCTGACATTTCATGCATGTAAAATAGGCTGCAATAAATGCGCAAATTATATTTCTATCATTGTTTTTGTTGTACCGTGTGACATTCAATACTGCTACGCACAAACGACTTTTTTACACAAAGAATATGACCTACAATTTACATACTTGATCGTTTAATAAAATCAAATAATCGTATCTTACACAAAATGCATTTATTTAACGAAACTCATTTTAATGATGGGCTTATCCCAAGTCCATCTAGACTGATGATTCTAAATAAAATGAAACACAATAAATTGAAGAGACAAATTGTAGCCAATCAACTTTAAAATTTCTGTTTCTTTCTTAGTATGAATGAGTAACGTATAGTGGTGTGACTTGAAATGCATTCATAAAGAGTTTAAAATAGTGTCTAATACTGATATAGGAAATATTATTATTTTAGATTAAAATTCAATAAAAATGCATTATTTTGATGAGGATTTTTTAAATGTTGTTCGCTTTTAATCGTATTCTTTCTGTTGTTGTGGGTATAAAGAATCATTCAATCAAACTATACCATACAAGAATTTAGAAAAAAATATTTTAATTCTTGAAATTTTGGTTGAAGTTTTGTTTGTATGCAAGCCCATATGGAACATCATTGTGGTACTTTGTATTATCTATCTCTGGATAGGTTAGGGGCCAAACGATGTATTCAATCCAATCAATGTAATGAGCCACACGAGTGTAGATACTTGGTAATGTGGATCCACATTTTGAAGCACCAAATGAAACAACACCAACTATGGTCGCGATCGTTGAATTACTGTACGGGAAATATTGAAGTGGACCTCCACTATCTCCTTGGCATGAATCGCTTCTTCCTTTTGGATCATGTGCACAATATTGCCCTTCGCTGACACCATTTCGAAATTCGTTTGCATTTGATTTTTTGTTCCATGCCAAAATAGTTGAATTACATTCAAGTATTGGTATCGATTTTAAAGTCGTCTTGAGTAACCTGTTTGATTTGGGTCCTTTCAAAAAATAATTCATGTTATGTTGATTCATTAATAATGATAATTTTATCCTACCATTATCGGAAGTGAGCCCCCAACCGATAACGATCAGTTCAGAATCAACATCTTCCTCTATCGTGTGCAAACATGCTGCTATAACATTATCATTGAATTGAATTTCGTCTCGAGTTCGAATCAATGCAATGTCATTTTTCTTTGTTAGTTGATTATATTGTGGATGCTTCATGATATCCTGAATGCAATAATAAAATTTATTTAAGAAAATGATGAAAAAAAGAAAATTAGATTATAAAGTGATCTTACTTCTATTAGATAGATATCGCCTTCCATTCCATCATCATCATCAACAGTTAGCTATTTGAATGGAAAATAAAACAATTTTGAATTTATATTATATAGGCAATTTATAGGCATTCATTTTAAACCGATTTTTTAATACTCTTTATTAGTCTACTCACTTTACCAACTCGAACTTGAGACGGTTCATTCTCTTCATGTACACAATGAGCAGCAGTCATAATATAACGCTTGGATATAATTGTACCTCCACAACGAATATCGTTCTCACTGTCGTCAGTATTCGGGTAGAATAATCCAGCCTTCCAATGAAAAGAAATACGTTAATGTGAACACAAAGAAGTGTTAATTCAAAAAAAAAAAAAGTTTCTTCACGCATAAATAAGATTGAAATATATCAACTTGACTTACCATCCAAGGAAACTCTGTAACATTAACCGCATCGCCCTTTACAATTCGTATATCAATATCATTAGTTGAATATGATGTGCACGCAATTTTTGAAGGAAAAACTTAAAAGGAAAATAGAAATAATTATGAAATCTTTTGTAATTTGTTATTTTTTAAAATGAAAGTAAAGCGATTTTATTTACCAAAGCTGGGAGATTTCCTCAGTATCTTGGCTATCTGTCTGCTTAATTGTATATCACCTAAAAAAAAAAATCTAAATTAACACCAAATCAGAGCTTCTGATAAGGGGTCAGAGGGATCGGATTAACTGCGATGAGTGAGGCACTAGAGATTTTGAAGCCAATTTTGCTCTCACCTACCCCCTAGAAATGAACAACTAAAAACTTAATTTTGAATTTATAGTTTCGAAATCCGAAACCCTTTTGAAAAATAAAAAAATTGAGCAACTCATATTTCACTACTTATGTGTGAAAAGTAATTAGATTTAACATTTATTTATTTTTTTGATTTACTTGCTGAGCAAACTGGAGCAATCGGAACGTTCGAAAAATGATGTTGATGAAATGATGCACACAAACAATTTTCGAAACGTTCCGCCTGCTCCGTTTCAGTTTGTGCAAAGCTGAAACCAAACAGCGAAACTGTCTATCGGTTTGTACGAGAAATGTCAAACCGGTTCGGATCGCCGCAATTATTGAAAATAATTCGATAAAACCAATTATACACAGAAACAAATATTCGAGTACGGTTACTCGCACTTGCGGAGTTACGCACTCTATTTTACTCTATTTTTGGTGTTAATTTCATCCAAGTGAACGCATCGTAGTGAAAGAAGAGATACATGTGTAGTCATAGCCGCATGCGTTCAATGTACATATGACTACACATGTATCTCTTCTTTCACTACGATGCGTTCACTTGGATGAAATTAACACCAAAAATAGAGTAAAATAGAGTGCGTAACTCCGCAAGTGCGAGTAACCGTACTCGAATATTTGTTTCTGTGTATAGTATTGAATTACTCATATCTAGAGCTAAATGTTCTGGCGTTTGGTGAAATAAGTCTGCGGTGTTCACAATGGCTCCATGTTCAACTAGATATTTGACAATATTCAGATCACCTAAAAAGTATGAAAATGTATAAAATATCTTATTATATAATTCATTCAAAATAATTCGTTTTCATTCAGAATATTTAATTACCTTTGATGATAGCATTGTGAATTCTAAAAATAAAAAATAAATATATAAACAATTATAAAAGTTATTATAAAATTATTATTTTTATGAAATTTTACGGTGAACGTAACACATGGTCAAACTCATTTATATTGGCTCCGTGGTCGACTAGATACTTGACTGCTTCAAAAAGACCTAAAAAGCATAAAAAATTAATAAGATAAACATGTATTGAACATAATTCTTTTTTGTTTGGAATATCACCTTCCTGAGCAGCGTAGTGAAGTCTAGTAATTAAAAAAAAATATAAAAAAATTTATAAAAATTATTCTGAAAATATTATTTTTGTAAAACTTTACGGTGTACTTGACACACGGTCAAACACATTTATATTTGCTCCTCGATCAACTAGATATTTGACTATGTCTGTATGGCCTAAAAAGCATGAAAGGCATATTAAAATCCAATGAAAACATTTCTTTTAAGTATGAAATTACCATATTCAGCTGCCCAGTGAAGCGGTCTTGATTTCAAACTTCCTTCCGCATTTACGTTGGCTCCAGATTGTTCAACTAGATATTTGACTACATCTAGTTTACCTAAAACGAATAGAAAATGAATAAATAATTCTTCCAAATTCGAAAAAGTCTACAATTACCATGCTGAGCAGCGTAATGAAGCTTCAATTTTTATAAAAGACCATTAAAACATTAAAAAATAAATGTATTATAAATAATTTTAATAATTCAATTAATTTACCGGAGTAACACCTATGTAGTTTTCCGCACTTACATTGGCTCCATGTTCAACGAGATATTTGACCATATTTATTGAACCTAAAAACCATAGTATATTGAAAAAAAAAACTCTTCCCAATTCGGGATAGTCGACAATTACCAGATGTTACAGTAGCCCAGTGAAGAGGCGTTTGTTTTTCAAAGCCTTCTGCATTCACATTTGCTCTATGTTCGACTAGATATTTAATTACTTCCAAATTACCTAAAGAAGTATTCATTGAAAATTAATTCTACAATGATTTGGAGTATTTAGTTACCCTCCTTAACAGCGTAGATCAACGGTGAATCTCTTGCCATGTCTTCCACATTTACATTGGCTATATGTTCGACTAGATATTTGGTAACATCTGTATGACCTGAAAATCATGAAAAGTAATAAGATTGACAATTTACTAAAAATAATTCGTTTTTATTTCGATTTTTTTAATTACCATAAAGAATAGCTGCGTGAATTGGGGTTAGTTTTGTATTGCCGTTCTCGTCTATATTGCTATACGCACTTATGTTGGCTCCATGTTCCACAAGATATTTGACTACTTCTAAACTACCTAAAATGCAACCATGTTTCAAGCAAGAAAAGTAATACGATTCATAGAAAATAACAAATTTTAATTTGGAGTATTCTAGGGGATAACCGTGAATTGCAGATCGAATAATTTATAATAATAAACGCTATTTCTCTCTATTTTTCACTAATTCTGCTAGTATTTCTACTAGTTTGTTCTAATACTGCTATTTTTTGCTAATTTCTCTAGTACGTCAAAAATATTGCATACGTCAGATTGACAGCATGATCGAATAACTGAAATGTGTTTACGTAAATGTTTCAAGTTGACACTTTCAACGTGTATATTTGAAGCAGGCACTAGCCTATACGTTTTCAGTAAGAAATCTGTCATCAAATCTACATTTCCGATTGCAATTCGTAAATTGTAGTTAATACAGATGAAACGTGCTTGGTTACGTGCCATTGAATATATTTTTATTTAAAAATGAGAAAAAGCGTATTAAACTACATATTTTGATACATTTTAGTTCAATACTATTCAATTCGTTTGTTTTGTGAATTTTATTTTAATTAATTATTTCAATATATTCAAGAATAAATGCTTACTAAAGTATATACGTGTACAGTGCTAATTCTGCTATTTATTGCTAATTTTGCTATTTTCTTCATGTAAATTTCCCTATTTTTTGCTAATGTGCTAATTCTAATTCGCATGGATATCCCCTAGGGAGTATTGAATTACCATTCTGGGCAACCAAGTGGAGTGGTGAGTGTGATTCGGCATTCACATTTGCTCGATGATCAACTAAATATTTGATTACATCTACATGGTCTAAAAACATGAAATGTGATAAGATGCATTGAACATAGATTTTATTAATTTGAAATTTTGAATCACCATTCTGAACCGCGTATTGAAGTCTATAGTATATTAAAAATAAAAATGAAAAACAAGTTATAAAATTTATTATAAAAATAGTATTTTTATAAAACCTTACGGTGTGTAATTGTTTCTATCAACCACATTCACATTAGCTCCATGTTCAACTAGATATTTAACTATATTTGTATGACCTAAAAATCATGAAAAGTAATAAATATTCATTAAACATATTCCGTTCAAATAGTTCGGAGTCTTGAAATAGGTAAGCAAAAAAAGTAGCAACAATTGACAACGCCAAATTCAAACCCTTATGGAAATATTTCGATTTCATAGCCGACTATAAATTGATTAATTTGGGACAAAAATGGCTGATATTTCAGCCAGCTAAAGTTAACTTTAAGTGACTATATGCGTCTTCATGTAACTTGAGTTGAGAAATGTCGATTGTGATCATAGTTAACTACGGTTAACTATAAGTATATGAAAATGATTTCTGTCAACTATGTTGACTATAATCACTTTTAGTTAACTCTGAAACATAACCGACTTTAATCGATTTCAATCATCTATTGGTAATTTTAACCAAACAAAAGTGATTAAAATTGGCTTAATTTATAGTCAGTCAGTAATTTTTTTTCACAAGGGCACAACCAATTTCAAGAAAAACCGCTTAAAAACTAGGCTGTAAATGGCTTCGTATTCGGAGTATTGAATTACCATTCTCAGCAGACCGGTGGAGTCTAAAAAATTAATATAAAAAAAATATAAAAATCATTATAAAAATATTATTTTTATAAAATTTTACGGTGTATCTTTCTCATCGGTTTCCGCATTCACATTGGCTCTATTATCGACGAGGTATTTGACAACATCTGTATGACCTGAAAAGAATAGAAAATAGTGCGGGAAGTTTTCATATAAAAATAATTTTCCTCGATTAAGAAAATGTCTACAATTACCATTTTGAGCTGAGTAGTGTAATGGTGTTATATAGCCATCGAATTCGGCATTCACATTTGCATTATGATCAACTAGATATTTGACTACATTTGTATGGCCTAGGAAGCATTGAAAGTAAGATGAAAAAAACTGCATGTAAAAACTCAATTCGAAAATTTTACTTTTCCGCACACATAGTGTAAGGTGAAAAGTATTGTAATCGGTCAAAATTTTGAAAACTTCAGAAACATGTTTTCTGGACGTTTCTGAGGTCAGCGAACCCGAATCAGGCCGTTTTGAGCATGGTTTATGTTAATCTGTACGTCGTACGTCGTACGTCGTACGTCGTACGTCGTACGTTGTACGTCGTACGCAAAATTTGTTAGCAAGATTGCGCTCATCGTAGAAACTTAATTCAAAATCTGACTTTACAGGATGATTGGGGGTCCCGAGGAATAGAAATCATTAGCTTTTGAGCGACTTTGGTTGATGGGAAAAAATGTCATGCCTGGAGTGATACCTATGAAAAAGAGTCCAATTTTCGTCCAAAAGTCATACTTAATGT